GATATTGCGCCTCCTTCTCCGGCAGAGCGTCTGGTGGATTCGAACCGTGTTCCTCTGGGATTGCAGTGCAGCTTCTTGAAGGTTAGTTATTTTTAAAAGTTCTTTTAAAAAATTCACATAATACCCAGGTTCAAACTTTAAAAAAAATGTAATGCTAAATTCCTTTTTCTAATTCTAAATTTTTCTTCTTTTGTTGTTTTAAACCTACTATGTATACCTTTTCAGAGGAATGTTGTCTTGTTAGCTTTGGCCATTTTCATTTACACACCTTAAAAAGCGAATATAATATGAGGAATGTTAAGTTTATTTTAAAAAAAATACATAAATACACGGAGTAATACTTTTAAATAACCAGCCTTTAAAAGCATTGCTTCACAAATCAAGTTCAGCTTAATTTTAGCTGTACTTCTGTTCATCCGTGGGTGGAATGTTTTACTCCCCTTTTGGCTGCAGGTTATATTTCTGTGGCTGGAAAAAATGTTCTTCAAGAGCACTGACTAGTTCATTCAGCTCCTTCTTCAGCTGCTCAGGATCGCTGAAATACAAGGAGAATTCCAAATCAACAAGTCTTCCCAAAGCACATTTTAATGACAATTAAGTAATACTAATAATCTGCATTATGCAGATTACACAACCCTGCTTGCTGAAACTGAGGAGGACCTGACATGCTTGCTGCAGAGGGTCAGACTGCAGCTTTCAGTATGGATTGAGGCTCAATGTCAAGAAGACAAAGATTCTCACCACTGGACCAATTGGCAGCATCAGGATGGATGGTGAAGAGATTAACATTGTTAACAACTTTAGTCTGCTTGACTCCACGGTCAACACTCTTGGCACCAGTAGTCAGGACATCAAAAAAACGTATTGCGATGGGAAAGTCTGCTGTTAGGGACCTCTCCAGGGTACTGAAGAGCAATGGTGTCACTCTGGAGACTAAGGTGCGTCTGATACAGTCTATGGTCTTCGCAATCACTTGTTATGCATCAGAGAATTAGACAATGACTAGGAAGGACAGAAGGAGAATTGACGCCTTTGAGCTGTGGTGCTGGAGGAGAGTATTGAATGTACCATGGACTGCCAAGAAAACAAATAGATTCATCCTGGAGAGGGTTAAACCAGGCTGCTCCTTGGAGGCAAGGATTCTGGGGCTTCGTCTGACATACTCTGGACATGTTGTAAGGAGGGACAGGTCCTTGGAGAGGGACATCATGCTTGGGAGGGTGGAAGGACAACGCAAGAGGGGAAGACCCTATATGAGGTGGATTGGTTCAGTGACTAGGGTAATCAGGATGGGTGTGTCAGAGGCACTGCGATTGGCACAGGATAGAGCAGGGTTTAGGGCTGTTGTACATAGGGTCACTATGAGTCACAAGTGACTTGAAGGCATATAACAACAACAACAATACTGACATTTACTTAATTCAGGGCTAAATTGGTCAAAACTCTTAAGGCCCTAAAGAGCTCTGGAGGCCTAGTGGTAAGGAGCTGACTACCATTCCAAAGGCATGCAGTTCAAATCCACCAGCTGCTCTGTGAGAGAAAGATGGGCAATCTCCTCCTTTGTGATTCAACTGCTTCTGAAAACCTCTGGAGAGTCAGCAAAGGGTCAGTTCCAACTTGAAAGTATACAACAAGGACCTCTGGTGGCGAAGGAAGTAGGGTTTTGTGCTGCCAACCCAAAGGTAAGCAGTTTGAATCCACCAGCAGTTCTAAAGAGAAAGATGAGCAATCTTCACTTCTATGATTTACAACATCTGAAAACCTTCTGGAGGTTCAGCTACTAGTAAGTTCTAACTCAACAGCAATGAGTTTGAGTTTTGATGTCCCAAGTATGGGAACACATCTGTTGGCTTAGACAAAAACTCCTTTAGACAATACGCAGGACTTTCCCCAAAGGTTTCTCTTTTGGGGTCTTTACTGAAAATCTTTTCATAAGAATTTTTAAGCAGCATAAATTTTAAACTTGTCTACCTAAAAGAAGTCAGTCTTGAGACTAAGGTGCTCCTGATACAGGCCATGGTCTCTGCAATCACTTGCTATGCATCAGAGAGCTGGACAATGACTAGGGATGATAGGAGAATTGATGCCTTTGAGCTGTGGTGCTGGAGAAGAGTATTGAATATATCACGGACTGCTAGGAGAACAAACAGATTCATCCTGGAGAGGGTGAAGCCAGGCTGCTCCTTGGAGGCAAGGATTCTGGGGCTTCGTCTGACACACTTGGGACATGTTGTAAGGAGAGACAGGTCGTTAGAGAGGGACATCATGCTGGGTAGAGTAGAGGGACAGCGCAGGAGGGGAAGACCCTCTATGAGGTGGATTGATTCAGTGACTGGGGTAATAGGGGTAGGTGTGTTGGAGACAGTGAGACTGGCATTGGATAGAGCTGGGTTTAGGGCTGTTGTACATAGGGTCGCTATGAGTTATAGACGACTTAATGGCACATAACAACAGCAACCTAAAAAATCTGCGATGTTTGCAACTAACAAATAGTACAGAGGCAAATTTCCTGGCTCCAGCTGTCATTCCATCCTCTGAACTATGGAAAATAAGACCTGTCTGTGAGTTTCCAGTCTCCAGGGATAGGAATGCTCCGGATCATGTTCGCTGTCAAGCAGCCTTGTCTGAAAACTGTTCACACGATGGAGATTCATAAAGCGCCACCTGCTGGTACGGTGCAGTCACACACCAGGCACTCAGACCCAGCAGGCTTCATCTTTACCATTCTTCCTCCAGGACCAAGGAGATGACAGAATATGGATACTGGCGGTCCTGGGGTCTGATCCTCATCTTTCATGAGGGAGACGTGGCTTTGATTTCTGGCCAATGCACTCCATGCACAACTATCATCCTTGATAGATGGAAAATAGATTGAAGTTGTCAATAATTTTCACAAACACCAGCCGTGGCAGCAGTTGGTGGACTGTGTGTCTCTATGAGGCTGGATAGGCTGCAGAGGAGTTTCTTACTGCATTTGACACATCAGCGTCAGTGTTTAGCATCACAGCAACCACGAGTTAACCTCTGTACAGCAAATGGATAAACCAGCACTATACCACTTAGGAGAATGTTTGACCAAAAACAATTAAAACCAAGCCTGAGGGCTGCAGATTAAAATCACCCACCTTTGGCTTATCGTAAAAGCTCAGCAGTTGTCAGAAGTGCAGGGGAAGGTGGGTGGTGAACAGGTGGACCATGGGTAATTTTAAAGGCAGTATAATTCTTCTGTTGCTGCAATGGCAGACATGTGACACGCATATGCCACAAAGTCATAGAACTAGGAATGTGTTTCTCTCTAACCATCATAAAAAAAAAAACACCTTTAAGCTATGTAAGGACTAAATGTTGAATTTTCTGTTAGGAGAAAACACTCCTCATTTTAAGGACTTCTGAAGAAGATTGAAATTCTCACATCAATTTGGCTAAACTACAGTGTTTAGTTACCTATTAAAACACTGTTGTTGTTAGGTGCCATCAAGTTGAGTACAACTCAATAGCAGTCCTATGAACAACAGATCTGAACTCTATCCTATCCTGTGCCATCCTCATAATTTTTATTATATCCTCAAGCCCACTGGTGAAAGGATAAACAAAATTGTGGTCCATCCATAAACAAAGTATTATTCAGTGCTTGAAAAACATGAGCTACCAAGCTACAAAAGGATGTGGAAAAACTGTAAACATATTGCTAAGTGAAAGATGTTAGCCTAAAAAGGCTCCATGTTTTGAACTACGTAGCACTCTGTTGTTGCTGGTATGTACCACTGTGTTGACTGCTACTCAGAGTGACCCCTATTCAAAGACCTGTTGTTCTGTATCGTTGAGTTGGAACTAAGCCATAGCTGACCCGCCAGTGGGTTTTCAAGAAGCAGTTAATTGCATGAGAGGAGTCTGTCAGTCTTTCTCCTGCAGAGCAACTGGTGGATTAGAACGACGTTCCTTAGTGTTGGCAGTGCAACTCCTTACAACTCAGCCACTAGAGTTCCTTATTCAAACACTAGTCCAGCTATCTTGTAGATGGGATTAAAGTTTACCAGCTGACTCTGGGTAAAGGAAGTGATCCTAGATACTCGGAGGGCTTAGGGTGTGTGTGTGCTGAGTTTGTTAGTTGAAAGGCCTTTAGGATATCACTGAGGTATTCCTGAAGAATTCTACTTGTGGATACAACTCCAGCTCATGCTCAGAGTATCAGCCTGCTCTTGCTGATAGTTACTATTCATTCTTTTTTAAATTGTTTTGGTTTTGTTTTTTTAATTGCCAGCCAATCAGAACCTACTAATAACTCACCCTGTAGTAGGTTTCCCAGGCTGTAAATCTCACAGGAAGATAATGTCTGCACATGAGAATACTGTCCATCTTTCATCCAAGTTGCTGCTGGTGGATTCGAACCATAGGACAGGGGAAGCCTTTGAGTTAGCAGCCCACCTCCCGAATGGAAATCACCGGAGCTTCTACTAGCTAGTTCCCCAGATTTCAGACCTGCCTAGTCAGTCTCCACAGTCATGTAAACTATCAAGCAGTACATTCAGTATCGCTGGCTTACTGGTTCTGTTCTGTATCTCTGGTAGGACTCTGACTGATAAAGCTATTATCCAATAATCATGAGATTATTCTTGTTCTTAGGAGATGTAAGCTGAGCTATTTAAGAGTAAAGTATGAAAAAAAGAGTCAAGTACCAAGAGGTCTGAGAAACTCAACATATTATAAAATGTTAACAATAGCTGAGTCAGATCAGTTAACTACAGCTTTCTATAAGCTTTTGAAAATAAAATTCCATTGGAACACATTCGTTTATGCATTCAGCTGCTTTCACATTTCAACTACAGAACTGAGTAGTTATGATAGAGACAGCATGGCCTGCAAACCCTGAAGTATTTACTACTTAGTTCTTTGCAGGAAAAGTTTGCCAGTACTCATCTAAGTGAAGAAGATACGCTAAGTTGCCATCAAGACGACTCTGACTCAGAGCAACCCCATGAGCAATGAATCTGAACCCGGTCCTATCCTAGGCCATCCTCACGACCTTTGATATGCTCCAGCCCCTTGACAGAGTCACCGTGCCAATCCATCTCATGGAGGGCTGTCCTCTCTTCCTCTGACCCTTCCTTCACCGTTCCCTGAATGAGGTCTTTCCCCAAAGATCGGTCCTTCCTGATAACACATGCAAAGTATGTGAGTGAAGTTTCCCCATCATTCTCTCTTACGAGCACCGTGATTGCACTTCCTTCAAAATAGATTTGTTCGGCAGGGGGAAAAACGAAGATAGAGTTAGTTGTCTTTTAGCAATCTGTGGGCTATTCAATATTCTTTGTTGAAACAACAAATCAAAAGTAATAATTCTCCTTCAGTCTTCCTTATTCATTATCCAACTCTTAGATGCATAAGAAAGAATTGAAAATACCACGGCTTGGATCAGATGCAACTTAGTCTTCAAACTACTGTTTTTCTCGTTAGCCCTTTAGAGAGGTCCTCGACAGCAGATTTTCCCACTGACGTCTTGATTGCTGCTCTCATGGGTACTGATTGTGGATCCAAGCAAAAAGAAATTGTTGGCAAATTCAATCGTTCTTCCATCTACCATGGTGTTTCTTCTTTGCTCACATGCAATTCATATTGAAGGCTGTAATATTTTATTTTCTTCAGTAAATGCTTCAAATCTTCTTTGCTTTATATAAACAAGGTTGTCTCATCTTCATAGCACAGGTTATTAATAAGTCTTCCTTCAATCCTAAGGCCACATTCTTCTTCACACAGTCTAGCTTCTTGACTGATTTTCTTAGCATACATACTGAGTAAGCATAGAGAAAGGATACAATCGTAACACACACTTTTCCTGACTTAAACCATGCAGCGTTCCCTTGCTCTTTTGGGACAAAAGCCTTTTGATCTATGTGAGGGTTTTTCATGAACACAGTTACGTGTTCTGAGATTCCCCTTCTTCTCAATGTCCACCATAATTGGTTATGAAACACACAGTCAAATGCCTTCGTACAGTCAATAAAACACAAGTAACCACCTCTCTGATATTCTCTGCTTTCAGCCAAGACCCAGCTGACATCAGAAATGAGATCCTTGATGCCATGGCCCCTTCTGTAGCCAACTTGAATTTCTGGCAGCTCTCAGCTGATGTACTTACTGTTCTAGCCATTTAAAAATAAATTTTAGCAAGATTTTACTTGCATGTGATATTAATGATCTTGCTTGATAATTTCCACATTCTGTTGTATTACCATTTGGGGGAAATATATACCTTTGCCAGTTATTCTTGGCATCGGCTAGTAAGCATGTTCGGGGCTGCAACTGTTTGTTGAAATACCTGAATTGGCATTTGATCAATTCTTGGGCCTTATTGTTTGCCAATGCATCCAGTTCAGCTTGAACTTAAAGGAATGGTGAGGTATAATTCCTATAATCTTAAAGCACTGAAGAGTTTTAGGTATCCTTTACTACTTTTATTCTTTCGTTTAAAGGGGACTATGAGCACTGGTTAAATGTATGTTTTCCTCAGAACTCAACCCAAGCTTTCTCTTTTTTGTTTTAATTTTTCTTTGAGTTTTGAGGGAAAGCTTACAGAAAAGACTAGTATTTCACTCAGCTATTCACACACAAAGAGACTGAAAGTAAAAAATTCAGAAGAATGTCTAGTCATGCTTTATTGACTATGCAAAGGCATTTGACTGTGTGAATCATAACAAGTTATGGTTAACATTGAGAGGACTGGGAATCACAAAGCATTGTGCTCATGCAAAACCTACTCCTTGACCAGGAAGCTATTTTGAGAAAAGAGCAAAGGAACAATACATCATTTAAGATAAAGAAAGAAGACGGTCAGGGTTACGTACTGGACTCTATGAAGAAGAATGTGACATCAAGAGTGGAGGAAGACATCAATAACCTGGGTTATGCAGATGACAGAATCTTACTTGCTGAAAGTGAGGAGGGCTTGAAGCACTTGTTGCACAAGATCAAAGAATACAGCCTTCAATATGGATTGCAGCTCAAGGTCAAGAAAACAAAAATTCTTACCACTGGACTTATAGGTGTCATCACGATAGATGGAGAAAGATTGAAAGTAACATTTTTCTAAACTAAACATTTTTAAATCAATTTCATATTTCTTTCTGTTTTTTAAAAATGCACCTAATAAAAAAATCAAAATAACTCCCTTTCTATTTGTACTGGACAGTGTTGACTTAAGTAATCTTACATTATTATTTCTTTCTTTTTAGTCTCAGCTGTATTTTAAACAGGGAAGTACTGGTTAAATGAGTAGTAGGTGAGCTAGTACCCAGCATCACACTTTCACGTGGCAGCCACATGCACCAAGGCTGTTGATGTTTAGAACTTTATGGTTTTTGGAAACTGACCCAGCTGAAGCCTTTGCCAAGGTCACAGAAACATGGCACTGAAGCTACCAGGCTGGTAATGCTTTGGCAGCAATAATTGAACTGAGCTCTTTGGCAGCTCTTCATCCTCCCTGGGGCCCAGGGGACACGGTATGGTAGGTCATCAGAGCTATTTGTTGATGTATATGGAATGGATTTGAATATAATCTATTAGAGACATGGCAAGACAACCAGGAAGGGGGGGAATTCGTAGGTGCTATCGTCAGGCTGGAGACTAAGGTGCTCCTGATCCAGGCTAGAGTCTTTGCAATTACATGCTATGCATTGGAGAGTTGGACAGTGAATAGGGATGATAGAAAGAGAATTGATGCCTTTGAGTTGTGGTGCTGGAGAAGAGTGCTGAATATACCATGGACTGCTAGGAGAACAAACAGGTCTGTCCTGGAGGCGGAAAAGCCAGGATTCAGAATTCTGGAATCAAGGATTCTGAAGCTTTGTCTGACATACTTTGGGCATGTTGCAAGGAGGGACTGGTCCTTGGAGAGGGACATCATGTTTGGGAGAGTGGAGGGACGGCGCAGGAGAGGAAGATCAATTCTGTGAGTGGAGTGGTGGGAATGAATGTGTTTGAGACAGCGAGGTGGGCACAGGATGGGACGGCGTTTAGGGCTCTTGTACATAGGGTCACTGAGTCGCAAGTGACTCGATGGCACATAACAACAACAACAACAACAACAATCATTAAGTAAAAAAGACTTAGAAAAAAGTAAGTATTAGTACCACTACCAAAAAAAAGGCATGAAACATTCCAAGTTGATTACTACTCTTAGTGAGCGTAGGAACAACAGATTACAATTTTGCCCTCTCCTCCACTCTCTTCTTCACAGTCTCTGCCATGCTCAAGCCCATTGCTGCAATCACTGTATCAATGCTCAAGATACTAAAATTCATTGCCACAGAGCTGGAACCAACTTCTAGCTCACCTTCCTAATGGACTTTAAGGAGCCTGTAAATCACGAGATTAGACTGTTCATCTCTCTCCTGTGGAGCAGCTGGTGGATTCGAACCACTCGAGAGGCTCTGCTTAGATGAGCAGCACATCTTCCTACAGGCTCGGGCATCAGGGTCATTGTTGTTGTTGTTGCTGTTACGTGCTGTCAAGTTGCCTGCGACTCATAGTGACTCTATGTACAACAGCCCTAAACCCTGCTCTATGCTGTGCCAATCTCACTGTCTCCATCACACCTACCCTTATCACCTCAGTCACTGAATCAATCCATCTCATCGAGGTTCTTCCTTTCCTGCGCTGTCCCTCCACCCTCCCAAGCATGATGTCCCTCTCCAAGGACTGATCCTGCCTTGCAACATGGCCAGAGTATGTCAGAATTCTTGCCTCCAAGAAGCAGCCTGGCTTCACCTTCTCCAGGACAAACCTGTTCTTTTAGCAGTCCATGATTTAATACTCTTCTCCAACACCACAACTCAAATGCATCCATTCTCCTATCATCTTTATTCATTGTCCAGCTCTCTGATGCATAGTGTCATTAGCAGAGAAAAACTACAGAACTGCTTATAGCTACAAGTATGCAACCTTGTCTTTGGATGCTTCAAGTAGCCATCAAAATCAGATACAAATATCACTGCAAGTTTTGAGACATTCATCATTGAACTAAGTGCTGGAAAAGTTATAAAAAAATCTTATGTTAGCATTTAAAATTAACTTATTTTCGGAGGTCCCAGCACTCCATACCTGTTTCCAGGCGGAGCACACAGTTCCGCGTAGTACTTGATTTTGGGTTCTGTACCACTGGTCCGCATGGTGGCCACGCCTCCGTTAGCAAAGGTAAAAGTGATCATCTGGCTGCTTTTACTAGTTGGGAGAACCTAGGGATTAATGCACACATGTAAACAATCAAACTCGCTCACTACCAGAGCGCCTTCAAATATGCTTTGTAAACTTTCAGTCAAATCACAATAAAAAGGAATAAATACATGCAAAAAGAAAAACTACTAAATTGTAGGTAGATAATCTGTGTAAATTACCAGTAAAGGATAAAAATAAGAAATGTGCTGGTCTTATGTAGACAAGTAGGTATGCATGGATCTGGATTAATTTTTTTTTAAATAAAGTATCTGTTGGAACTAATAAAAAGGGGAAAATTGTAAGCAAACTTAATTTTTCTTAGGAGTATTGCTTTATAAATGAAAGTATCGAACTCTCAACGTTTGAAATAGGTCTTTTAAAAAAGCACTTAAAAGTAATTTCTCAGGAGTCAGAATCTAATCATAGCTGACTCATCTTTCTTGTACAGAGCAAGCAATTGGTGGATTTGAACCACTTTCCTTTGCGTTGGCAACACAATTCCTTACCCAATAGGTCACTCGAGCTCCCTTACCAATATTACCCTCTAGATATAAAGAAGAAAATACAGAACAAATTGAATAATGCCTAAAGCCAACACCAATTATATGATTAAATAATTTCATCGATTCATTTTTAAAAGGTCACCATGAAAGTTTGCTGATAAAAGTAAATGTTACTCACAGCTTTTTTGTCAGGCTGGGTATCATCATAGCCAGTTGTAAGGTCCCTAATTCCAGAAATTTCAAACCTGCCACACGTTTTTGGGTAAGTGTCCTTCCCACCATAATTTCTAAGGTTTTCAAATAATTTTTTAATGGTGCCTTGATCATGGCAGATAAAATACGAAGCCTTGGTAATATGGTAGCCATACCTATCAAAACAAATAGAAAAACACACAAAATAAGGAACAAATAATGCTGAATAATATATACAAGCCATGTATATTTTCCAAGAAATGGAGCAAAGAACGCACTGGCTTCAAAGAAGTAAGTTAGCATCAAAAAAGATGTTTGAAAAATCTCCCCAGGGATAACAGTTACAGTATGGTCTTCAGCCTATTTTTGTGACTTGACATTCTGTTGAGATTCCATTACGTCATGCCCATTCCTTTAATACACTGTCTCTGGTGGCTTTAGCACCATAAAAGAACAGTCGAGTAACTGCTACAAACACTAAGGGTCCTCAAAGCCTAGTTAGTATATGCGATCAGGCTTTCTATAGGAAAAGCTGTTACCCCTTGTCCATCACATGCCTTAAAATCCTTTGTGTATTATTGAACCGAAGGGCTTGACTTCCTAGTATTCACACAGTAGGGAGACACATCTGTGCTCCAGACAATGGAACTGAACAGTACAGCTGTCTAAAGTCTGCACAGCAGCCCTGAGTCATTAACAAATAAACAGCCACACGTTTCCACTTGAGACACAGACTCAAGAAGAGTCATATTTAGTTGAAGTTCCTACAGAATCCCTCAAATCACCGATGCTAAAAAATTTTTTCTTTTTATTGTTTAACACTTAGCTTTTTGTGTGCCATCGAGTTGGAACCAACTCATAGCTGACCCTACAGTAGGTGTTCAGAAGCAGGAGATCACATGGAAGGAGATTCCCTGTCCTTCTCGCATGGAGCAGCTGGTGGACCAGAACCACATGCCTTTTGGACTGTAGTGCAGCTCCTTACCACTTTGGCCACCAGAACTTCTTGGACAGTAATATTGGCCTGTAACAAGCCCAATGAATAGTTGTCTTTGTGGTGGTGTTATGAACTGTTGAGTCCAAATTGACTCACAGGTGACCCTCCAGTGGGTTTTCAGAGGCAGTGAGTTACACAGGAAAAGAATGTCTGTCTTTCTCCCCAGGAGCTGCTGGTGAATACAAAGTATCTGTCTTTGGGTTGGCTGTGCATCTCCTTACCCACTAGGTCACCAAAGCTCCCTAAAATAGGCTTTTCATACCTTCAGTCAAATCACAAACTAAAAAAAAACAAACAGACTATATTGTAGGTAGATATTCTGTGTAGATTATTAATATAGGATAAAACTAAGAAATGTGCTGATCTCACATAAACAAGTGGGTCCTTGTGGCTTGGAAATTAAAAATAAAATTCTGATGATAGCAACACACAAAGGTAGAAAGTAGATTACTCTCAAACATCTTACACAGCAGTAAAACTAAACATGACAAACATTGACTCTAATGTCAAAATTAGACAAAGTGTCAGGTGAACCTAACACCCTATTTCTAATGTTAGTTAGTATATGATTTTGTGATTCTACACAAAAGATTAAGTATTATAAGAAGACACTCAACTATTTTATCTCAATTGCTGAAAATGGTCCACATTGTATATTATATATATTCCAAAAAGCCAAAAAAATGTTTGAGTCTCATTACTGCTTTACAACTCATTAATATTCATTCAGTAATCAACACATGTTACAAGACTCTTACATTTACAAATAATCAACTATCTTTTTTTTCAATCAACTGACTCTTAAGCCCAAAAGATCCACTTAAATATTTTATAATAAATTGTCATCATGCTTTAATTCAGAATTTAGATTTGAATGTTACTTTTTAAAATTTGTCTTATTTCTATTTATTTATTATTTTATTATTTGTGTGTGTGTGTACTGTCAAGTCAGATTGGACTGGGACAGGAGGAGATCGCCCCTCCTTCTCCAGAAGAGCATCTGGTGGATTCTAACAGTGCACCTTCAGGATTACGGTGCAGCTTCTTGCCACTAGGCCACCAGAGCTCCCTCTTGAATGTTACTTTTACTTAATACATTTAATCTTTTTTGACAAAAGGCACAAGCATCTTCAATTACCCATTTCTGCAGCAACTAATGTCTTGCTTTATTAAGAATTTTTGAGGTTATGAATGGCAATTAGTATTAAGTGGTTAAACATGAAAACAAAAAAAATGAAGAAATCAAACTAACTGTAACAATGAGTTTAAACGTGGCAGAGATTGTGAGGAAGGCACAGGATAGGGAAAGGTTGGATCTTTCATAGTCACCATAACTCATAGTTAACTTGATGGGCGGCACCCAACAACAACAACCCACTGTGCCATTATTTCTCCTCTCGATCACTCAATTATCATCACTCTTAAAGGAAGTGCTATCATCTTTAAATATCATTTCCTACTTGCCTCTATAACTACTAATAAGCTGTCTCTAAAAAAAAAAATCAAGGAAGCAAATGGGAAGGATACAGGCAAAAAGACAGGGTAATGATGGGCAAGATCCAATGGTGATTGATTTGATTAAACATAATGTATAAGAATGATTGTATGAAACACAATGTGAATGAAGAATAGTGTGAAACACAATATAAACAAACTTTGTAAGCAAACCTATTGAAAAATACAATGTAAAAATCAAATTAATAACCAATAAATGTATCTTCTACACAAAGACATGAGAAGCATGAAAAGAAATATTGCTTTAATTAAACAGAGTCTTACTCAATGTAGATGGCCTTTAGCTGCTGAGACAGAGACAGGTTCTTGGTTGCTAGGAAGCTCGCTAACTCTGCACTTATCACAGCGGCACTGACTCCATCTTTGTCCAGAACGAAGGGGCAGCACATGTACCCTGCAGAGAACACACATCACATACAGAAACTTCGCTTTCTTCACAGCACTGTGTCAAGCTGCACGCTGGTCCACATCCTACCAATCAGGATTAGAGCTGACACCACATTAAGTGTATGGACAACTCTCATCGCCATATATTAAGGACCTAATGCAGTGCCTACATTCAGCAAACCCTTAAGAACTATTTGCTGAATAACTTAAAAGAGTTTTCTTCCTAGCCAAATCATGCACACTCATTGCTATTGTTGTTGTTGTGTGCTATGGAGTTGGAACTGACCCATAACTGACCCTCCAGTGGGTTTTCAGAGAATTAATCACAGGGAAGGAGACTGCCCGTTCTCCTGTAAAGCGACTGGTGGCTTTGAATCTCATAACTTTGGGATTGCAGTGCAGCTTCTTACTGCCAGGCTTCTTACCACTAGATCTCTCTTGCATACTCACTAGGTCCAGTCAAAGTCCTTCCAGCTCATACAAAATAATTTCTAACTCTAGACAATGCTTATCTCTTTGATTTCCCCAAATCCCAATGACTCTTGTCACTGAGTTGATTCTGACCCCATAAGACATAGTAGAACTGCCCTATAGGGTTTGCAAGGCTGTAGCCCTTAACAGGAGAGGAGGGCCTTATCTGTCTCCCATGGAACAGCTGGAGGTTTGAACTACCAACCTTTGAGTTAACAACTGAGAGCTTATATCCTATGCCAAAGTTCCTGAGTCCTAACAGTTCTTGCTATTATATTGGTCATCTGGACACCTGCCCTATTTATTTGTGATTTGTGGTGTTGTTGTTGTTAAGTGCCACTGAGTTATAGACAACTCATAGTGACCCTATGAACGAAAGACCTGGACACTTGTATAACTTTCATCGTTTCTCTAAGTTCATAGTTTCCGGAGGCAAGCTATTTTAGAAGTGGATGCCACTCCTGCTTCCAAACTTGTTTTAATCTGGGAGCTCCATCAAACGCTGCCCACTTTTGGTAACCATTATCACATCTGACACATCAGTGTCACAGTGTTTAGCATCACAGCTTAAAAAGATCTACATAAGCTGCTTGAAAGGGTGTCACAGTGTTTAGCATCACAGCTTAAAAAGATCTACATAAGCTGCTTGAAAGGGTGGAGGGAGAGTGCAGGAGAGGAAGACCCCAGATGAGAAGAACTGGAACAGTGACTAGGGCAATGGAGGTATGTGTGTCAGAGTCAATGAGACTGGCTCATGACAGGACAGGCTTCAGAGCTGCTGTACATAGAGTTGCTATGAGTGACAGGCAACTCGACAGTACATAACCGCAACAACATAAGCTGTTGACGGCCAAGGTCAGCAGCATCAGTTTCATCCAGAGTCACTGTGCAATAGAGATGTGATAAATATTTGATAAACAAATGTAAGAAAATCTTTCTCCTTTAAAAATTAAAAATGTAAGGTGTTAATAATGGATAACTAGTTAAATAACGTCTATCTGTGCTATAGAGGAGCCTAAGTGGCACAGCGGTTAAAACATTCAGCTGTTAAAAGGTTCAAATCCACCAGGTGTTCCACGGGAGAAAAATGAGGCCATCTGCTTCTATAAAGACAGCCTTGCAAACCCTCAGGGACAGGTCTGTTGTCTTACAAAGGTTGGAAATGATTTGATAGCAGGAGTTTTTATTGGCAGGTTCTACAGAGGATATATAGATAGAACCAGAGGAGCACACATTTAATAACAAAGGGAGCTCTGGTGGGGTAGTCGGTGGACAGTTGTGCTGCTAACCTATAGGTGGTCAGTTCAAATACAAGAGTGGTTCCTTCTGTACAATTAACAGCTCTGAATACCAGCTGGAAGGTCAGCTATGAGTCAGCTCCATTTGACATAAATGAGTTTGAATTAGTAGCTAAAATATTCCCAGCACAAACATCTGAATTTTTCTTTTTGATAGTTGCCTCTCATTTCTGTGTGTGTATATATACAGATTAATAATCTAGGACACTGGTGTTTAGTCATCCAGGTTGGCCTTGGAGCTGTGCGTTGGAGCGACCACGCTTGTGTGAGCAGCACAATGGTGCTATCTCCTATCTTCCTGGTAAACCCCAGCACAGATCCTCAGGTATCACTTTCAGGGGAGAATGAACTACACGCTGTACAAGGCCCGGCAGCTTCTCAAATTATAGCAACCTTGCACAGAACACCACTGTTTTTAGTCACCTGAGAAAGAATTTTATTTCTTTCATAAATAACTTGGTTCTATACAAGATATTCCTTTTGCTGTTATGTGCTGTCGAGTCGACCGGGACTCACAGTGAGCCTTTGAGCAACAGCCTGAACCTTGCCTTCTCCTGAGCCAACCTCACCATTTTTGTCACACCTGACCCACTGCCACAGTCACTGTGCCAATCCAACTTGTCAAGCATCTATCTTCCTCTCTTGTGCTGGCCTTCTGTCCTTCCAAGCAAGATGACCTTCTCCAAGGACTAGCCCCTCCTGATAATAAAAGTATGTGAGACAGACCTTCATCCTTCTTGCTTGCAAGGAACACCCTGGTTTTGCTTTCTCCAGGACAGACTTGTTTGTTCCTTTGGTAAAATTACTTTTAGCAGAAAAATACATCTGAGATGCTAATTTTGGTCAACTTTAAGGAACATTAAAAGTTACAGAAGCATGAAAACCCCAAATCCCTGTAAATGTTCATTAAAATTATTAAAATTTAATAATTAAAAAAAAGTTACAGAAGCACCATAAATGATATGCTCTTACTCTATGGCTGATCTTTTGAATTCAGATCCAAACGCCACTCCTTTCCCCATATGTTAACAGTCCACAGAGAAATCAGTTCTCTCATTCAAGTGATCACTGCTTACCGATAGCTTCTTCAAATGCGAAGAGCACATTTTTCCCCTGGTCTATGAGTTGCTTGGCTCTGTTTCCCATCCACTTAAAGCCAGTTAACGTTTCCTAGAGGGATTGTTCAGAAGAGAAGGAAATGCCTTAGATCTCTGACAAAGCCAAGGAAAGGGGAGCGCCTAATCCTGGCAAATCCCTTACCTCAAAATGAAAGCCCTCCTTCAACGCGATGGCCCGTAGGATTTTGGAGGAGACCGTGCTGGATAGCATGTAGGTGTCTTTGAGGGCGCTGCGATCTTGGTTCTTCTCCTTCCAAGAGGTAAAGAGCCACCAGCCCAGGAGCGCCCCCACCTCATTGCCGGAAAACACTCTCCACTCACCCCTGAAAGAGAGGACAGCCATTCCATCCGTGTGATCTCAAGAAGGCATTGGCCAGGGGACAACCGAGTCAAATAAGACTCCCCATAGCACTTCCAAGCCACTTCTTCCTATTCATCATCTTCAGATAAACAGGCAAAAATGTAACTTCCACATCACAAACCTTTGAGATACATGCTATCCTCTTTAACCAGAATGCCTGGATAAAAATGCTGCCTTTGTGCATCGTATGAAATCAAGCGTATCAGCAATCGTGCTTGATGCCTTTCAGTCCTCTGCTTTGTGTTCGGCATAACTGGAGGGTGCTAGCAAGCTCCCCTCTCACGTATAAAACAAGCCTGCATGTCTCGTCATGCTTTGCCTGGTTCGTACTGTGGATTCCAAGAGGGTAATCGCTTAGCGTTCTTTAAGGGGAGCTTGATATTGAAACAGAACACCAGAAACTAGAGATGCCGTATCCTCCTCTCGCAAACACCACACACCACATTAGCTAAACTTTCTAAAAACGAATCCAGAATTGATCCCGTTTTGTCATGACCTGAAACCATAACCTGTCAGTAGTGCCTCGCTACACATGACACACTTGGCGTAACACAAAAGATTGTTTGCACTAGACTTACTTTCCTGATCTTCTGCCTCTGTAAGGAGCTCTGGTGGTACAGTGCTTAAAGAATTTGACCACAGATTTAAAAAAGCTGGTGGTTTGAACCCAACCCACCCGCCATTCTTCATGAGGAAGATGAGGTGGCCTGCTTCTGCGAGGACTTAGAGCGTTGGAAACCCCGGGGGCAGCTCTACTCCAGGTCGCTTTGAGTTGGAATCAACTCAAAGGTGGTGAGTCTAGTTTGGTGGATAGAAATTCTCTGATCAAACATGTCTTTAAAACTGTGCCTGTATCCTACTGGTCCTCCCTGGTCTGCTCGCCTAAATCCAACATTTCCTTCACAGTCTGACTCTTTACCAAGTCTACTGACAAATAGAAACCAGAACAGACCAGAGAACCCTACTGCCATTGCCTCAATTATCTTTCACCAGGATTGTGGGTACACAAATCTTACCAGGGGCAGACTGCCTTGGCTGTCTGTCCCTCAAGGAGTGGTTGGTGGGTTTTGGACAGCCAATCTTTCAGGTGGGAGCTCAACATTAAGGTACTAAACCAAAGTCAGCACTGAGCAAAGGCGGTCTTCCTCACTCTGCATTGAATCACTGTTTTTGGATAACACTGAGTTGACCTCCTCTCATTGCAATCCCAGAGGAAAGTCATAGGGTTTCCTCCACTGTAATCTTTTTTTTTTTTTTTTAGATTTTTTTTAATTTTTATTTTTATTATTTTTGTGTGAGTATATCGTCAAATCAGATATTCCTGGTACAGGAGGAGATTGTCCCTCCTTCCCCGGCAGAGCATCTGGTGGATTCAAACCGTGCGCCTCTGGGATTGTAGTTGCAGCTCCTTGCCACTAGGCCACCAGAGCTCCCCTACTGTAATCTTTAGAGGAGAATATTAGCAGGTCTTTCCCCTGAAGACGATGAATGAATTCTAAACATCAATCTGTCAGTTAACAGGCAAGCAGTTAAGGTGGGTCTCACGAGGGTTCCTCATCCACTAATTCCAATGAAATCAGTATCAATTAAGGTCTTCAATACCAGGCTGATTTACTCTGCATTACGCTTGCCAATTAGGAGATTGTTCAGAGCATCATCTTGTCTTGTTAGACGGCTTGGAAGGAATCATTGACGTGATAGTTTGCCTAACAAACTGGAATAACTTCCAAGGAGGTCCACCCTTTCCAGGTTGCTTCTGAAGCTGTGCAGCTCTGTAATTTTTGTCATATACATTGTTACGTTATCATAATTCCTTTTACCTGTCTTGTTTTTCTGCTATGGCAAGTCTATCAGCATCTGGATCATTTGCCAAAACAATCTGTGCCTTGGTTTTGTCGGCCAAACCAAAAGAGAGTGTCTGAAAAAGAGTTTGAAAAGGAAAAATAAATACCAATCACTTAAGTCAAGAGGGGAATAGTCCGTTGTCTTTAAAAATGTCCAGGTTTTGGGTGCTTTAATTTTTTTTAATTGATATTTCAAGGAAAGTTTACAGATAACTTAGATTCATTCACTGTTGCACACTCTTCCCTACCCCACCCCTTACAGGTTGCTTTTCTCTTTAAAAAGATTCTTTCATTGTTGCACAATTTCCTACTCCCCCTCCCCCACATCCACTTTGCTATGCACCACCCATTCTGCATTATTGTCATGCAAAGAATACCTAATCATATATTTCTTTTAGACCGTTCTTTCCCTCATCTATTTAAATTCAGTGTTCATTATTTATCCCCTCTTCTCTTCGTTTCCCCCCAACTTCCATGTCAGTCCTGTTTTATAACAGTGGCACTATGCAGTCTTTGTCCTTTTGTGACTGAGATATTTCACTCAGCATAATGTCCTCCAGGGTCACCCATTTGGTATATTTTGTAAGCTCCTTATTTTTCACTGCTATATGAATATACCACCGTTTCTCATTTGTTGATGGTCACAGAGATGAAATCGGTTAAGTGGGGAAATGAAAGCCGCTTTAACAAACGGCGTGCAAAATTGGAAAACTATCTGTAGAAAACTCAAGCATGACCCACACCTCACACCATACACAAAAGTCAACTCAAAGTGGATCAAGGATCTAAGAGTAAAACCAACAATGATAAATTTCAGAGGAAAGCTTGGAAGAACTCCAGAAACCCTAATCTACAGCATGAACAGTCTCCTATGCACCCTGAAAAACCTACAATCAGGAGAGAATAAAATAGATGAAAGGGATCTTTTAACAATCAAATCCCCATGCACATTAAAAAACTTTTACAACAGGGTAAAAAGGAAAGTCACAGACTTGGAAAAAATATTTGGTAATGACATGTCAGATAAGGGACTTATATCTAGAATTTATAGAAAACTCCAGCACCGCAACAAAGAAAACAACCCAATCACAAAATGGGCACAGTATATGAATAGACACTTCACCAAAGAAGACATACAAGTGGTGAACAAACACATGAAGAAATATTCAAAATCCCTAGCTCTAAGAGAGACACAAATCGAAACAACTATGGGATACCATCTCACCCCAGTATAGTTCAACAGAGTGGCAAGCAACAAATGCTGGCGAGGTTGTGGAGAAATTGGAATCCTTATTCACTCTTGGTGGGAATGTAAAATGGTGTATCCACTCTCTAAGGCAGTATGGCGCTTTCTCAAAGAGTTGAAAATAAAACTACCATTTGACCCAGCAATTGCACTACTGGGAATCTACCCTAAAGAAACCAGAACTGCCACCCAAACAGATATATACACACTCATGTTTAGATTTGGTGAAGTCATGAGGCCAGTAGGTGTGGATGTGATCCTGTCTAGAGATGAAGTCTCTGAAGATTTTGTCCGTTAATATCAGGTATAGGTTAAGGCTTAATTGAAAAGAGTGGGTGTTAATCCAATAAATGGACTCCTTCTGAACGATAAAAATAGCATATGAACTTTGATAAATGCCGACAGTTATAGGAAGGCTTTAGGCCTCTTGTTCATAGGGTCACTATGAGTCATGCTCAACTCAAAGGCAATCAACAAACAACAGTACAGGGAGATAGAGGAAGAACAATCATACAAAGATGCACCTTCAAGTCAAGGAACACTTGGAGTCCCCATTAACAAGAGAAGAGGCATGGAATATATTTTCCTCCTAAAACTCTGAAGAAATCATCATGGTGACACCCTGGTCTGTGCTCTGGGTCTCCAGACAGTAACTCAACACAGTGCTTTTGTTTAAAGCCACCCACTATTTTGCGGCAGTAACTCTAGAACTGATAGAAAGACTTTCCCCAGGTCAAAGCGGAGTTTTATTTCTGTAGCTGGTCTTGGTTGTCCACAGAAGATTTGCAATCCAAGGTCAGATGACAGGAATATCAACACCGGGCCTGCCCACGCCTGTGGGATTCCTCCCATCTGAATGTGTGTGTGGCTGGACTGGTCTTTCCAGACATTCACCACGTTATCAATCTCAAAAAATAAACCAAACCCTGAACATCACTGAGGTTAAGAGGGTTCTGAGAACCAGAACATAAAACTTCTTTTTATTAGAGAAAGGATTATGAAGGAATAAAAACAAGATGACAAATCTGTATATATTACTATACTGACATAAAGGAAACACAGCAAATAAAATTTAAACTACATTAAATAAATAAAATTCATAAATTAAATTTAGATTCCTGCTTTCCTACTCTGGTTCAAAACAAAGTTATCACTGGGTAAATGCAAACTCAAGAGATCTCATGTACACAGACTAGACCTGTTTCATACAATTGTCAAGGCTGTAACTTTTTTTGTTAATTGACATTATTTATGCATTGTCCAATTTTCCCTCCCATTCATTCATTATTGCACTTTTCTCCCCTCCCAAACCCCCCACCCAGTATACTACCCTCTTAGAAAAGTAAAAGAAAAATTCTTTCATTGTTTTACAATCCCTCCCCCAAAGTCCACTCCACTATGCAGCCTTTGCTCTGGACTTCTGTCATGACAAAAATACCTAATCACATATCCCTTTTAAACAGTTTTCTCCCTCATCTGTTTCAATGCAGTATACATTATTAAACCCCTCTTTCTCAGTCTCCCCCCTACCCCGATGTCAGTCCTGTTTTACAACAGTGGCACTATACAGTATTTGTCCTTTTGTGACTGAGATACTTCACTCAGCATAATGTCCTCCAGGGTCACCCATTTTGAATAATAATGCATGAGTTCCTTGGTTTTCAATGCATCATAATATTCCATTGTGTGAATATACCACAGTTTTTCTCTATCCATTCGTTTGCTGATGGGCACTTAGGTTGTTACCAACTTCTTGCTATTATGAACAAAGCCGCAATAAACATGGGTGCGCATAAAGCTGTAACTTTTTGAGTTACTGGTAGGCAGCAGTGGGGGCATAGTCTATAGGAAGTTACACTGGTAACCCAAAGGCTGTGCAAAGATGGGCAGTTTCCTCCTGTTTCACTTTACAGCCTCAGAAATTGGATGACAGTGAGTGCTTTGGGATTTTTTTTTTTTTAACTTTTTGGAAGCAAATCACCAGGGTGCCTTTGGCTGGGTTCAAACTGTCAATCTCACGGTTAGTCATCAAGTACTTAATCATTTGTACCACCCAGGGACTCCCATATCCTGGTTTGCTCCCGCACTCACCCCCAAGAACATGGAAACAGTCCAACATGTCCAGCCATAATTGAATTGTTGTTGTTGTTGCTCACAGCGACCCTATGTACGTACAACAACAGCCCTAAACCCTGTCCTAGTCTGTGCCAATTGCACTGTCTCCGACACACCTACCCCCATTACCCCAGTCACTGAATCAATCCATCTCATCGAGGGTCTTCCTCCCTCCACACTCCCAAGCATGACGTCCCTTTCTAAGGACTGGTCCCTCCTTGCAACATGCCCAAAGTATGTCAGACGAATCCTCAGAATCCTTGCCTCCAAGAGGCAGCCTGGCTTCACCTTGACCAGGACAAACCTATTTGTTCTTCAGCACCACAGCTCAAATATATCAATTCTCCTTCTGTCATCTCTAGTCCAGCTCTCTGATGCATAGCAAGTGATTGCAAAGACTATGGCATGTATTAGGTGCACTTTAGTCTCCAGACTGACATCATTGCTCTTCAGCACTTTAGCGAGTTCTCTAACCACAACTGAATAGATTGAGAAATTATAGTATATTCACATGATGAAATAGTACATAGCACTCAGGAACAATGATTTTGTAAATCACTACCTAACTTGGGAGGGATTGGAGAGCATTATGCTGAGTGAACTAACTCATCCCAATACTGTATAAGACCTGAAAGTTCCGGTGGCCTGGTGGCCAGAAATGATGCTGCAATCACAAAGGCACAAGGTTTAAATCCACCAGATGCTCTGCTAGAGAAGGTGGGGGCAATCTCCTCCTGTGCCAGTCAGATCCAATTCGACAGTACCCAAAGCCAAAACAAAACAAAAATTAAAAAAAATACAAATACTGTATAAAACCATTATTGTAGAAATAGATAACTAGTAAAATATGTATGAGGATTTAAGGGGGGGGCAGGGACACACAGGGGTGAGGATGAGTGGAAGATGTAATCATAGGGTCACATAGTTTGATAGGTAGAGGGAACGGTGGGTTAAGGAAGTGGGAAAGATTTGGTGTGAAAAACAAAGAGAAGGCAAATTCACTGCTGTTGAATAATCAATTTTGACTCAACAACCCTTCATGGGGCTTCTGAGGCTGTACATCTTTCTAGGAGGAGGCCAGCATCTTTCTCGTAACCCACTATGTCACCACACCTCCTTCACACCCTCATGTTGTTGTGTACAGTCGAGTTGGAACCCACCTATAGCTAACCCTCCAGCAGGTTTTCAGAGGCAGTGAATTGCATGAGAAGAGACTGTCGACCTTTCTACAGAGCAGTTAGCGATTCGAATTGCGTGCTTCTGGGATTTCAGTGCAGCTTCTTACCCCTATGCCACCAGAGCTCCCTCCATACCTCATACTAGGCTAACCTGAAGATTCCTTTAAGAAATCAATAGCTGATAAATAGAAATATAGCCTATGGTGAAATTAGTTTTCACCAGCACAATATAAACACACACAACCTTTTTACTAGGCAGCAATCATTTTGAACATAGGGAGAGATAAAGAAAAAAAAATTGGGTTACCAAGACACCTTTGCCCTCTTCTGGGTTCGGATATTTCACGGTGGGGAACTCGGGATCAGGATCCTTCTGCTCGGGCACAGCCTCCGGGGGAGCGAAGTCAAAGGCTCTGAAGGCGGACTGCACGAAGTCATGGCCAACGCCGTGCACCGACGTGTGCACGAACTTCACCTTGCTCTGCCTGTTCACACTCCTAGGATCAGACACACCAAGACACATGGTGAGGTCTACAGAGATGGCTCTCAAAACAAGAATGCTTGCAGTGTAACTGAGACCTATTCTCAAGAATGTAAAAAATCAATGTAATACGAATGCCCCAGATAGCTGAATATCTGTTAGAAGAAAATGAAATAAAAATGTATCCACTCCTTCCTAAACTGATGCATAAAGGCCTAAAACACCTTCATCTCTAACAGAAGCCCTGGTCATATTGTGTGTTACATGGGAGGCTGTTAAGCTAAAAGTCGGGAGTTCAAACCCACTAAGCACCCCATAAATGTGTAGATTTACAGTCTCAGAAACCCCGTGGAGGGTGGTTATGAGTCAAGATCAACGCGGTAACAATGGATGTGGCTTTGGATCACCTAGTCAGTTTCAGGATGTCAGAAGGTGTTCAGAATTGGATTCACGGCACAGCTTTCACATCCACGGGGGATGAGAAGAAACCCAGGGCTCAGATTCCAGGACAAGACTCACAGTGGGCTCAGTACAAGCCTATCCCTGGCAATGCAACCTCACTTGTTAAATGTCCCTTTTAACAAAATGTGATAGCATAACCCATGTGTAAAAATTGAAAAAAAAAAAAAAGGAGATTTATCAAATAACAGCCCTGCTTAGGTAAGTTCCATGTTTTAGGAACTTAGCAATATCGTTTGCTGACCTTGAGTCAGGCACCCTATAAATTGCACTATTAACCCACAGGCAAAGCCACTCTGGAAGTTCGAATCCAACCATGGTTTTATGAGAGAAGTGTAATCTCCTTCCATGTGATTTACAGCCTCAGAAACCTAATGGAAGGTCAGCTAAGAGCTGGCTTTGACTTAACAGCAACAAGTGGTGAATGACCATTCAGAAAAATTATGCAAATAATGACAAAGTGTTAAACTCATACATTGAGGGATATGTATGGGTATATATTTGGGAGAAAGTGGATATTTTATTTTGTGAGTAATGGAACAAGATACTGCCTAGCTTTGTACCATCTCTAAGCCTGCTTATAGGTAGGACTGTTGTTGGACTGTCAAAGTGAGTCAACAACTATCACTAAGAAGTTTTTTCCATTCACACACACACACATACGGAGAGAGAAAGGGAGAGGGAGAGGGAGCAAGGAAGAGTGGGGGAGAGAGAGAGACAGAGAGAAAGAGCGGAGAGAGCGAAAGAGCGAGAGCGAGCGAGAGAGTGTGGGGGGGGAGAGAGAGAGCGCGCGCGCCATGTGCAAGCAGCGAATGACACCATGAGCTGGCCATATTTGTCTGGTTTTTCTTCCTGCCCCTCCCACCCCTCCTTGTCTTCATAAACAGTATTTCCTTGGAAGACAGCCACATTCACACACCTTCCTTTACTGCTATCTCCAGCTACTTGCCGGCTACAACAGAAGAGCTGAGCAGTGGCATCAATGTCTACACGGATCCAATGCCAAACTCTTTACTCTCTGTCCCTTTGAGAGCAAAGTTTGCTGACCCCGATTCACAGCTTCTAAAACCAGAAACTGCACTATACGTGCCATTAAAAAGACAGATTTCATGAAAGCTGATAAAATTGGGCTCAATCAAATAATTCCATTCCCTTCAGGCTAGTGAAGATACAGCCCATTTCCCTTACCTGTGAAAGCAGTATTTTTTCAGGTCTTCAAAGTAGTCTTTATTGATGGAAGCAGTTGGGTTATGAAGAAGCAAACTGCCATCAATTAATGAATCATCCCAAGCTTTTGGCCACGGCTCCAGATTTTCTTCAATAGCTTGAGAAATTCCTTTATCATGAGGAGAAATGATCTGGGCTCCATTATCCCAATAGACCTATGGGATGCAGAGGCACATCAACAATTTAAAAAAAAAATCTTGTTTATAAGGGTAGACTGACATGATGACTGTTGCAATGGGTTCTTGTGTGTCAGGAAGTGTGGGGATGGCGCAGGACAGAAGAGGGTTCTGATCTTTTGTTCAAAGGTTTGCTAAGAGTTGTGCTCACTCCACAGCACCTAGCAACAATCACATACTGACCCTATGAACTTTCCCTATCATGTGTCATCATGATCAAGCCCAGTGTTCCAGTCACTGTATCAGTCTTCTTGTGGCTGTCAGGTATTGAGCTGAATGTGACACACAGTGACCCTATGAACAGCAGATCTGAACCTCGCTCTGTCCTGTGCCACCATCATGATCAAGTTCATTTTTGCATTAACTGTATCAATCTCGTTGCTATTTGCTATTGCTGACTATGACACACAGTGAGAACTGAACCTTGCCCTACCCTCTGCCACCCTCACGATCTATGTCCCCCTCAAGCACATCGTGGTGGTCTCGCGTCAGTCCGTCTTGTTGAGGGTTTTCCTCTCTTCTGTTGAACCTCAATATTAGAGTTAAGGAAAACAAAGCCCCATTTACCTCTGCTCCCAAACAGTACAAGTGAAAGATTAATGCAGAATGAGGATGGTTCAGAAAGAAGAAGAAAAAAGAAATACCTTATAACCATTATCCTGCTTTGGATTATGAGAGGCAGTTATCATGATTCCAGCACAAAGCTTCAGGTGTGATACTGTGTAAGGCTGTAAGATGAGAGTTTTAACAAAAATTAGATACATTTAAACTATTGATTACATTTGTTTGTATCAAGTTATCCCTCTTTTTGGTAAACGCAGTTTAATAAATTCATACTGTGTTCATTCAACATTTTTGTGGCATATATAAACAGTAGGCTCTTATTACTCTGGGACCAAAGTTCTTGTTGTTCTTATGTGCCATCAAGTCAATTACGACTCACAGCGACCCTATGCACATTAGCTTTGAACCCTGCTCTATCCGGAGCCAATCTCACTGACTCTGACACACTTAACCCTCATTATCCAGTTATTCTATCAATCCATCTCATCCTGGGTCTTCCTTTCCTGTGCTTTCCCTCTGCCCTTCCAACTACTATGTCCTTCTCTAAAGACTGGTTCCTCCTGGCAACATGCCCAAAGTATGAGACCAAGTCTCAAAATCCTTGCCTCCAAGTTGCAGCTTGGTTTCAGCCTCTCCAAGGCAGACCTGTCAGTTCTCTTGATAGTCTATGGTATGTTCAAAACTCTTCTAGCTACACAAAATTCCACGGTAGGGACCTTAAAACGAAACTCAACCTAACCCAATCTGCTGCGCTCTATCGATTCTTTTTCCCTAGTCAAATCATTCCTATGGAATCAGCACCAACTCATAGCTGGTTCTCCAAATGCACTGGACGAGACTGCCCATCTTTCTCCCTCAGAGCAGCTAATGGATTCAAACCACATGCCTCTGGGTTGGCAGGGCGGCTCCTTACCCACTAAGCTACCAGAGCTCCCTAGTGATCCTATTGAACAACATAGAAGTACTCAATCAGTGTTTGAGGCTGTAAATCTTAACAGGAGAAGATGATTTCACTTTTCTCCTGTGGAGTGCTATAAGTTCAAACCACCAACATTTTGGTTAGTAGCTCTACCTTGAACCCACTGCCCCACCAGGGCTCTTCTCTAAGAAGAGTGAATATTTTTTTAGGTGTCACGTCATTCTGTCTTCTACTTAGTGGAGCAGGGAACAGCTTGAAACAAAAACACTGTCTTCTATTTCACATTCTCCTAGGCCTCCCGTTGGGAACTGAAGTTTATGGATTCACTTTATATCCTCTAACCACTTAGCCTTTTTTTCTGTTCCTTTCTCTTTATATTTTCTTTAAAGGAAAAGGTTGGGGCAGGGGGAAATGAGGAACTGATGATTTATTTCACTGTTTGCTCAATTCTCTCTCCAGAGTTAAACATCTCTCCCTTATTATTTATACTAGATGTCCTGAAGTGGTAAAAACATTCAGCATTCTGCGCTGTTAACCTAAAGGTTGGAGGCTTGAGTCCACCTAGACGTACCTAGAAAGAAGGACCTGTTGGTCCACTTCTTTAAAAACCCCAGTCATTACAATGGGACACCCCATGGGCACAGTGCAACTCTGACACACATCACGTCAGAGTCAGAATCAACTCAAAAGCAAGTGTAAGTTTCTACGCAAATCCCACATGAGTGTGTGCTTTCCAAAATGAACAGAGACTGATGTACATTCACATGGATGCATCTTAAATTTACTATGTACGGGCAACCTGAGATTTTAACCATCTATCCTCTGTGCCCTCCCACCAAGGATCACTGTGTCATTTGCCCTCTTTAAGGTATGTCACATCTCAGGAAGATGAGATCAAGGCATGAGAAAACGATTGAGAGACAACAGTTTAATCCACGTCTGATATAAATATAACAGCTATTAACCCACATACACACAAAGATATATGGAGACAGAGCACAATTGACATGCTCAGCGAAACAAGCATTGTTTCTCATCGAACAATGAAACTCAAATGTGGACGTAACCCTGGATTCCTTCCAATGGAACAAGTGATGTAGCTACCTGCTGCTACACTGAAGACAGTAGCACAAAACGACTAAATCTGTATTCTCCTGTATTCCTACCACCTTGTTTATACTTGATGGAGGTAATGGCATCTGTATCATATTTTGAGCTTGCCTTCTAAAATATGTATCCTCAGCCTCAGCCTCTGCTCTTTAAAATCCTGTCTGCTTAAAAGCAACATCCATCACAAACACACTGTTCTTTTGCTCAGTTCCTGTTACTCGAGAGGTTTGATCAAAAGCCTTGCTAAAGCATGCCAAGTATGCTTTCTGAACTGGCCACGACGAGCATTTAGAATGAAAGATTTATAGAAAAAGCTGTTGCACCAACTTGTCAAAAGTACTTGAGAAGCTTCCTAATTGTGACAGCTCCAAAAAAGAACTCAGAATCCAAGTGTTACACAATTAAAGTAACACACAAGAAACCCATTCTGCTACTAAAACTCACTACACTGTGAGTTAATTAAAACTCATGTTGAGATGAACTTCCCCACAGGGTTTTCACACTATAAATGTTTGCGGAAGCAGATTGGCACACATTTTTCCATTTTTTCCCAGGGAGTGGCTGTTGGGTTTAAATGACTGAACGTTCAATTAATAGCTGGATGCTTAACCACTATACCACTGGGGCTCCCATTTTACTAGCTTTATACAACACTTCTAGAATGCAAGTATTTAAAAAAACTGTGTGTGTGAGAGCAATGAAGTCAGTTCAAAGACTAGGGTGCACCTTGGTCTTCTCTGTTTCTTGCTATGCATTGGAAAGTTAGACAAGGACTAAGGATGACTGATAAAGAAATGATGTTTTGATTTGTGGTACTGGAGAAGAGTACTGACTATCTCATGGACTACCGAGAGAACAAACTGGTCTGTCCTGGATAAAGTGAAACCAGGGTGCTCCTTGAAGGCAAGGATGATGGAATTCTGTCTTATATATACTTGGGGGACACTGTTAGGAGGGGTCAGTCCTTGAAGAGGAACACCTTGCTTGGAAAGGTAGAGTCAGCAAAAGAGAAGTAGACACTTGATGAGATGGACTGATGCTGTGACTGTAACAATGGGCTCAAGTGTGTAGGAGATGGAGAGGATGGCCTAGAATAGGGCAGGTTTCAGACCTTTGTTCACAGCGTTGCCAAAAGTCATATCTGACTTGACAGCACATCACAACAATAACATATGTGGATGTGTATATATATATATATGTGTGTGTGTGTGTGTGTGCACGCACACGCACATGTGTATATCTATATATGTGTGTGTGTGGTGCATATCTGTATCTATATCTATCTCTGTATCTGGAGGTCTGGTGGCCTAGTGAATAAGCAGTTGAGTTGCCAACCCAAAGGAAGGCAGTTCAAATGCACCAGCTGCTTCAAGTGAGGAAGATGGGCACGATGCTCTCGTGTCAATTTTCAGCTTCTGAAAACCTGCTGGAGGGTCAGCTATGAGTTGATTCTGACTCAACAGCACCTAACAACGATACAAACCCCAACACACACACTCCCACTCCCAAAAAACTCAGTAGCTGAATACCAGAGAAATAGTATTAGGATGACAGAGAGAGATTTCTCATAAGAAAAGGGGCTGACTGACACATACCCAGGGGCTGTCTGTCATCCAAACACACAAGCAGCAGCAGAACTAAGTATTGTGAAATTCAGTCATGTACCACCCGCCATCTCATGACAGGAAGTGAGAAAAGGAAATGGTTACTCACCACAAAGGGGGTTGGAGTGATATCAGAAAAGAGGTACACAGGGATCCCCTGACTGATGAATGTGGTTGCAGCAAGCCGGGCGAACCTGGAGGTGTAGGGAGACAGGGAGAAATTGTCAAGGCTGCTGGTGACTGGAGAGAAGGAAATGGGCATTTGACTGCTTCCTCAGGTCTGACGACAGCACGGATATCAAGGGAAACATGTATCATCAATTATCTACATTGGGATAAAACACAAACACGACAGGAGCCTAAGCAGCCATCACAGTCCACTCCTTTGTTTACAGAAGGGTGTCCAAGGCCAGGGGACTGCGACAGGCCAAGTGACCTCCTGGTCCTGGGACCCACCTTCGTGACTGAGCCAGGTCCACCATGAGCTCTCTGCACTCTCCATCTACCTTAGAGGTTCTCACCAGGATGCTTCTGTCTTTGAGTTACATCTGAAATGTCTCCCCATTAACCCTAACTCACTGTCAATTGTTAGAGGAATCGATTCCTACTCATAGCTGACACCCAGGTCTCCAAGGCTGTCATTTAAAAAAAATTTTTTTTAAGGCTGTAAATCTTTATGGGAGGAAACTACTCATCTTTCTCCCATGGAGCAGCTGGTGGATTTGAACTGCTGACCTTCTGTTCAGCATGGCAATGCAACTGATGACAAAACAGTGAAAATCAATAAGCAATAGTCAGAAACTGGCTTCTTTCTCTATATAAATATCCTATAACAGTTTAAAGTAGCATTTTATGTGACTTTAAGTAAAGAAAGTGCCCCACTTGGAACTAACAGCTGGATAAATAGGGAACAATTCTCCAATTAATAAAAACTAACTTCTTATAATACCCTAAACTAGAAGTACAACTATTATTTCTTTCTGTTCACAAAGAAGAAAGTATTTCCTCTCTTCTTCTTAAAATCCAACAGAAGTAATTGACTGCCTTACATGTCAAAGCTGTTTACCCAGTTACTCAGTAATTTAAAGAACTCATTAGTTAGAGTTTTTCCTTGTTATAAAGGTAATCCTACACCTGAGAATTACTACCCTTTGGACCATAAAATATTGGAAGGTACCATTTCTCTCAAATCTTTAACAAGGTCACGTCTACTTGCCCGGAGTTCTCACCAGGCCTGGACATCTGGAAAAGAAATAATATCGGGGGAATTCTCACTTATTGTCTGCATTCCTCATTTATTAGTTGGAACCCCACAAGTTCCAACAAGTGAGAGGTAGCTTTGGGACGTGCATATCCCCCGTCTTTCATTGGCGTGCATATCAGTAAAAGTTCTTTTTCCACTCTGACTCCATCTCTCAGATTGGATTATTTGGTGGTTGGTGGCAGGAAGATGATTGTCTGGTAACAGCGGCATGCGATTCAACATGCCACCAGAGCCCGTTTATCTGCCACAGTGGGGTACAGGGGTACTTAACTGGCATCTAGGGGGACAGGCCATGGATCCTGCTAAACACCCTACAATGTCTTACAGGGCATCGCCACAGAAGAGCTGTTGGGTTCGGTATGCAGTTCAATGTCAGCGGCTCCAGGGCTGAGAGTCACTGGACTAAACCAATCACAGTTCAGCATGCACTACACACACTGGCACCTAAGGAGATGCTGTTTACAGAATAATCAGGAACAAAGCCTACATCCTGGCTCTTATCAGACTCTGAGTCTATAAAAGAGAAGGTGTTTCTTTAAGGCATGGCATCAAATCTTTGTGCTTGAATTACTAAATACTTTGCTACAAGAAAATGAGTCATTTACTTCCAAGGAACAACCTTCTTCTAGTGCCAGGTTAAGCCACCTGATCATTCATTCTCTCTCCAGACACTCTGTGAGCAACTGTGTTCTAGAGAAACATTAATTTCTACTCTGGGGGCCTCTGCACTTCAAATGACCCAGATGACAAAGTTCCTAAGGTCAATATTAACATAAAAATGTCCTCAAATGGGTAAGTCACAAAGTAAGACTAAACAATTTTAATGAAAAGCTGAGTAAAGTCCAAACTATATTTATCAGGAGGCACAGAAATAACTTTCGGCTCATAAAATAGTTACTATGTCTTTAGATGGATTTTAAAGGTGCTGAGTCAGAGCTGACTCACAGACGACCCTTCCATGGACTGTTGAGATTACACATCACACAGGATGAGACTGCTCAGCTTTCATCCTGTGGAGTGGTTGGTGGATTCGAATTGCAAGAGAGACGCTATCCTTGGATAAGCAGTGAAACGGCCAACATTGAATATTGTGTAGACAGTCTGTCTTATTTGCTTGTTGTTGTTAGGTGCCATTGAGTCAAGTTCCACTCATAGTGAGTGACTCTATGAACAACAGATGCGAACCTTACCCTGGGTGCAGCCAGAGTGCTCTTTGGAGGCAGGAATGATGAGGCTTTGCCTCACATACTTTTGGGCATTCCTTGGAGAGGGACATGCTTCTGGGGAGGGTGGAGTATTGGCGAAGGAGAGGAAGACCCTCAACCAGGTGGACTGACACAGAAACTGCTCCAAAGGGCAGCATTGTGTGTCAAGAAGTATGAAGCTAAAGCACGGTTCAGGTCTTTTGTTCATAAGGTTGCTATGAGTCATACTCAACTCCACAGCACCTAACAACAGCAACAAGTTGCAAGAAGAGGCGTTGCAATCCCAAAGGCACACTGTTCAAATCCATCAGTTGCTCCGCTGCAGGACAAGGATGGGCAATCTCCTCCCATGAGATTTTACTATCTCTCAAAACCTACTGGAGGGTCAGCTATGGGTCGGTTCTGTCTTGACAGCACACAAAAACATGGCCATTTTAGGGAGCTCTGGTGGCCTAGTGTAAGGAATTATGAAAAGCAAGTAGTTGGATTCATTAGCTGCTTTGTGGGAGAAAGATGGGCAAGTTCTTCTCATGCAATTTACAGCCTATAAAAACCCACTGATGGCTCAGCTATGAGTCAGTTCTGACTCGACAGCACATATCAACGATATATCTGTTTTAGAAGGAGCTCTGGTAGTGCCAAGGTCAAAAAGCTAGGCTGCTTAGCTCAAGGGCAGCCAATTGAATGCACTAAGGTGCTCCATGGGAGAAAGATGTGGTAGCCTGCTTCTCCTGGTTGGGAACGTTACAGGAAAGCAGACTAGAAAGGTAGTCAAGAACAAGAAGGGGGTCATGAAAAATGAAAGGGGGGAAAAAAAGAAAAATGAGGGGGAGAAATAATCTTACCACTTTGATTTTCTTTTTTTCTATTTAGAGAGACATTAACTTCAAAGTCACCTCAATATTGTTATTTCCTTAACCCATGAGCAAAAATCAGAAATTTTTCACAACTTGCAAAACAAATATATTAACAAAACTTGTTAGTGATGTAACTAATAAATAAAAAGGTATTGAAAGTTGAGCTGTTGAGAAGCCAATTACAAACAAAGTCCCCAAACATGCGAGGGAAAAACCCATCTCCGAAAAATGTTTACGCACCTCTTGCTACTGCCCCCACTGGGAGGGTGGGCACGGGCATCAAAGCTGATGACCACGCCTCTCTGCTTCAGGTCGCTGAACTGTTTTTCCAAGTATCTGCAAAATCCCTG